ATAATACTGTGTTTTGTCTGGGGAAGGGTGAGCAAACAGTAGCCATGCTGTCATTCACACCCTATATCTTTAGTGTCATCGCAAAGGGGGAAACTACAGGCCTATATGTCACAGGCCTGTATGTACTATTCTGTGGGGACTGTCTGCCAATAGCCAGGCTTGAAATAAAAAGAAGTATGGCTTTCATTGTAAATAAGTCAGACACAAGGATTGCCAAGGAAAAGCTGTCTTTTCACTGAAAGGGGAAATAATTCTACAAAGACATACAGTACATGCTGCTTCCCTAATGCTTCTCTCGCCTTTACAGAAGAACCTTATCTTCACACAGATGATGATGGTTAACAAAAGGCTCCTTTATGAAATCGTTCATATTTCAGCCGAGGTCCGTCTCCTGTCCTGAGAGGTGATTGATGCATCAGTCCAGGGCCGGTGTCTTATTTACACAGTTGAGTGGGGCAATCTCAGGCCTGAAAGATAAACCTAATGAGCTTCTTTGTGTAAGGGTGCAAATGAGAGACACCATCCTCCCACCCTCCTTCCCTTTTCCATCCAAAGGGACAGTCTGGGTGATTAGGCCTTTAAATTATGCTCAAGGGCAAAGCCCAGATTTGCATCTTAGGTGTGTGTGTGTGTGTGTGTGTGTCTGTGTCTTCTCAAATGTGGTACGGAGAGAAAGACAGAGAGGCAGGTGAAGGACAGAGAGAGAAAGATGCTTGAGGCTTGTTTGTGCGAGGTGATGGTAGGTGAACATTGTGTGTCAGTATTTTAAGTATTTACCTACACTAAACAACAAACTTGAGTTGTTATAAGAGGGAGGTGAGCTCACGTGTGTGTTAAATGAGCATGCACACGCACACACACACACACACACACAAAAACACACACTGTCATTTTGTCCTTTGTCTGTGGGGTAACTTTCTCCCTAATGACTTTCATTTTGGGGAGAATTTCATTTGCCCCTAAACCCTAAATATTACCCATCACTTGCTGTCAGATTTCTCATCCCTTCTATTTCCTCCAGCTAAACAGCTAGGAAGGCAGGTTAATTGCTGTCACTCTCAAGTTGGACCACTGCCTAACTCTCGTGTAGCGACAGGGGTAGCCTGGAAGTAAGATGGCACCTTGGCGCACTTATTGTAATTTATGTCAAAATGCTGCAGTCATTTAAATGGGGTTGGATAGTTTGCATTTTGCTGCATCATGCGCCTCAGGAAAACACTGCAAAATGCATACCTAACCCGTTTACCAACACGTAGACCTCTACAACACTCTCTTGTAAACTGCACTTCTCTGCAAAAGTAAATAAATTATTGTCCTCACAAACAAGAAAAGTACACAGTCGACATGAAAAAAAATAAACAAAAAACTACTTGCATGACAGCTATGAACAACCAGCGGCAAGGAAAATTAAATGTTAAGATTTTCCAACTACGCTTGACTTTAATGAGTCAGTAATCTGGATGAGTAGTGGGCTGTAGTGGCAGAAGGTTGTGCCCACAGCGATCCAGAGGTCTTCGGTTAAAACAACTGACCCGGCCACAATAGATAAGCCAGTGCCTCCATCTTGCTCTGAATATCAATACGCTCTGTACAGTAGTGAGCCCATTTAGAGGGGGCAGCATTCCTGAGTATTGGCTCATCAATCCCACTGATAACCCTGGCAGGATTAAGTCTACAGACCACTGTAATCAACTAACAGCCTCATTATGGGACATTATGGTATAGATCCAAAGATCAATGCATTGCTCCCATGTACATACACAGCAGCGTCTAATATTAAAACATAAGACTGACTATGGCCAATGATAAATTGATTGCTAATATGAGCTCAGCACAATTTTTGCTCTTTTTTTAACGAGGGAGCTTTTATAGTGATCATTTTAGCATAGTAATTAGGGCTGTGCAACATTCATCATTTGCTCTGATACATATCTGCAGCTGGCAAATTGCAATCAGATACAGTGGGTATCTAATCTGTGATCTCAAATCAAATTAGGTCTATTTAGACAACCTTGGGAATGGGGTGATGAAACCCTGACAGAAATTAGGGGTTGAAAATTCAATTGTGACACAGTAGCTATTATTCAGATGCATGGATAACGGAGTGTGTGGCTTTCACATTGAACACAATGACCTGTATAAACAACAATACAGATAATATACAGGAGTCAAAAAATAAATTAAAAAAAAATGTACTATTTGGGGGGAAAAAAGGAAAAACGCCACTATCAATATTTGAATTTGAAAAAATTGCTCCTGTGTAACTTAGTCTTGATCTGTGTCCTATAAGCCTTTGGCCGAATCTAAGGCGACGAGACCTTAAGATGCTGCTTTTCTAATTATAGCTGCAGGTGGTATTTTGGAGCTGCTAGGTAATGGCAGAACCCACAGGGACAGTGGAGAATTCATCAGTGCTTATTATTAATCATCCCCCCAGCAGCGTGATGAGAGACTGGAGCTTCTATACCCACCGGACCACTCAATGTCATTCCAAATATGGGTGGAAAATTACACCCAACAGCCTTCCTTCAAAATGGACTCAGAGCAGACGTGGACTGGAATTTTTTAGCTGCACACAGGTGCAAAAAAAAAAAAAAA